TGAAGGTATCTGCACACAAAGTTGACTCCATGGTTTTTACAACCGGTCACAGGTGGGCTCGATCCTGTCACCTCATGCCTGCTGGATCACTAGCCTGGCACCTTAGCCAGCTCGCCCACCACGATTGAAGACGTGAAAGGGGAAATGACAACACACAACAAAGTCAAGACAGAAATAAACAATAGACAAGGCGACATTACAGACACACAGATGACACAGGATGACTCTGGGAGTGGCTTGCAAAAGAGATGTTCTCTTTAGTCAACCTCACGTTCCCAGGCCCCTGGTCGAAAGACTGTGAGATAGGAGTGTGGCCAGGGCTATGATTGTTTACGGGTGCTTCAAACATGTGTACCCCAGACTACTGATAACAATGAGGTACACTTTTTATTTTGGAATGTGTCAGGTCTGATCACTAAGCTACAGGATTGTGACTTCATAGAATTCATATGTAAATGTGATATTATTGGATTGTCAGAATCTTGGTCCATAGAGATTGATTTAACAATCATGTTTCCAGATTTTATTGTTATAACAAAAGGCAGAGAAAGAATATCCAACTTTGGTTGTCTTTCAGGTGGAATGCTACTTCTTATTAGCAAAAAAGTTTGAGATTTTTGTGAAATGGAAAAAAATCCTTTTACTCATTAAGGCAGAGAGCCGCATATATGGGGCAAATTAATCAGCTCCTCACAGCGAGTGACACGTTTATGGGGCAGGTAATTGGCAGTTTCTCACAGCGAGAGCCACATATAGTCATCAATAGAAAGCACCTCTTATTCAGCGAGTGAAGCACTTGTGTGTCATTGCTTTATTTAATCGCACTGTACCTATTATTTCAACCAATTTAGTAGTACTGATCAAATATCAGCTTTTCTTACGAGGGATGCTACCTTTGGTGTCAATCAGAAGAAGTATTTAAAGTGTTTTGATAGCAATTGCTAGTCATTATCATAGGCGTATATAGCGTTTGGCAAAATGAACACATGTCGGCGAGAAAGGGGGATTATGATGTTTTACAGAGGTAAGTGTCTGGTACTCTTCTTTGGGAATGGATACTAAAATACTTCTAATGCACATTGATTGAATTAGATGTAATGGTTAAGAGGTTACTGAGGATTATTTTTTCTTCAACTTCCTAATAAATAAGAAACAATATACGAAATTTCAAGGATATACAAAGAATTCAAACACAATAGAATAGTTTGAATTTACTTTTTAGGTATTATTACGTTGTCATGTTTCATACTATGAAATATAATGTATAAACACAAATAATTATACATCCAAGCTCGAATAGATTATGAAATACGCAATGAAAAAAAAGTTTTTAATAAAGTACTAGAATCTGTACTTTATTAAGAAAGTGTAATCGCAAATATAACATATGTCGAATAGATTAGACATAATTTAACTTACTAATTTAAAGCTTACTGAATTGTAACTTGTTATTTTCCATAATCTAAAGTTGATAATATCACCTAATCGAATATAAATTGATAAGTCGCGCATTTGCATCAAATATATATACATGTCAGTGTTATTACAACAATGAAATCTTTTACTACGTTTGTTACAAAACACAGTAAGTTGGTAATTCAAAAAATTCTTAGACATAGACAGAAGTAATATCATAAGTTGTTACATGTAAACCATACAGAGGTATTTCAAGCATTTTGGTTCAAGCTGTTGAAAGCTTCATGTTGATTTGAATTGTCAGTTTTCTGTGCAATTTACATGAGCATTCTGTAAAACATTTGTATTTGATCTCTGTAATTATCAAATCCGGTGTAATTATCACATATATCAATAAACTCACAGAGCTCCAGATAAGATTTAGCTCATGTGGGTACTGTACCCACTGTATTTTTTTGGGAGTGGGTATTATGAATGTTGAGTGGGTATTTCATTTTCCGTTACCCACTGCTTTCAAATATGTGCGTATTTCAGTCACTTTACTCACCTAAGTATTACGTCATTGAGTAAGTTTACTAAGCAGGTATGTTCTGCCTTATGTCATACCTAATCAAAACCAACTTAAATATAATGGAAATTATTTCATAAAATATCACTCATCCTATACTGACATCTAACACTTGTCCTATACTAACAGTACAACTTGATAGCAATCTATGTCTTTTTCATAACGCAAGCGATTTTTATAAATATATTCCGTACACATTTGTTTTAAACTTTTTGCGTATCTAACATTTTCAATGCGTAATTGGTACGCAACAGTTATTTTTCAATGCGTAATTCTATGCGTATTTTACCCGGATACGCAGCTTATCTGGGCCTCTGAACTCAGTCAACAAAAGCTGGATAGTATATCAGTTACAGTATCGATACACATGCGTATAATCATTCAATCAGATTACAGTAATGAGATAATTAAACACCTCTTTCGACCTTGAAATAACAGCCTCCGGTAGAATGCATATGTAGACACGTCCTTGTTGAAAGGTTTGTCCCGTGACAGGTGTAAAATAAACAGATGCGCTGTTATATCATTGGACAACTTGCTTTATGGAGTCACGCCCCTCTCTGTAATGTTTATGCATGCATGTACATCTGTAATCTTATGAATCTCGTTTGCATTCAGTATAAATATAGGCACGCCCATCTTCATGAATATTTTGGGGGATTCAACTGCAAGTTTATACACTATAATAATTCAGTATAGTTTCACTTTCGTGAATTCTGTAATACTTTTAGTTTGGATATTCATTCGTATCAAGGTGAAGATTATATTTACATGTACAGGAAACCATTATGTTTTATGTACTAGGTTTGTGCGTAAAGCCTTGATGAAAATAAATACTATCTCTACTCAATGGTTGGATTTCAATCGCTTTGTTTTACTTATCGAAAAACACTAAAATGTGTTTTCGATCTCTGAGGACAAATTAACTCGCCAAAGTGTCTATCTACTCCTATTTGTCTTATGTGTATATTTCATACATCGTTACCAGTGTGTATGTTTACAATACACAAACTGTTACATGATAGCTTGAATTGATAAAGCCGAAACCCAGCATATCGACTGGACAACGATATAGCCAATAATCAATCTTTATCCAAGTTGTTGAGTGATCACTGGGTCAAAGTCATGATCATGAAAAGTCGATGATTTTGTCACGGACGAAAAAGTGTGATAAAGTTGAAAAATACAAGTGAGTTGTCGAAGGTTTATGAAAATCGAGGTAGCGGAAGTGTCAATCGTTACTTTTTGTACAAAAAAACGAGCTTTGAGGGTTGTAATTCAGTGAAAAATGCTTTTTATGGATCTACCCTCCTCACAAGACTACATGAACAGAGTAATGGCGACCCCAGCTGTCACACTCGTTGAGGACATGTCTTCATCGCAGAGTAATCTACGCTCTTCTGAGGAAAGAAAACGGTCATTAGCACATGACGAGGATGCAGAAGAGCATAACAGCAAGAAACAGAAAGGTATGAATGTGACGAACACTGTGATTGATACATCCCGACCGGTTAGTGACCAACATGGCGCCGAGGTAGGGGAAGGAAGTAGTGTTGAAGTGTTAAACGCCATTACAGCACAGACTGATTATCTTAATCAGAGAATGACTGCTATGGAAGATAGGCAGTTTAAGAAATTTAAACGGATGATTGATGAAGAAATCCAGGTAGTGAGAGACGAAGTGACTGAGAAAATCACAGATGTTACATAGTTCCTTGATTACAACAGGATGGGCAGAGCTGCAGCTAACTCTGCCAGCCAGGCACTCGGACTCCTTATCTCGAAGTACAAGCTACTGGGAGGAAGGGAATACAAGACCTTCACGAAACTTTATGACAGTATGGTTTGGTCCACGATATCCTATGGAGCAGCAATCTGGGGTCCATATGCCGTGAATGCCATACAGAATCGGGCCATGAAATTCTTCATCAGGTTATACAAGTACGCGCGTAACGCAGCAGTAGCGGGAGATATGGACTGGACTCAACCTTGTGTCCGACAGTGGGATTTAGTCACCATGTTCCGACACATCTCACAAGACAGACTTTTATCTAAAGTATTTCGCTGGGCAAATCAGAAAGCCGTGAGTAACAAGAACAACTGGAATAAGAGAGTGCACACTAAGCTGACTAGCATCGGACTACCCCATTTTATACCTCTAAGTAACACTTTTAATGGTCAGTTCATATCAGGAGAGATCCTTAGAAGATTGGAGGAAAGAAATATCAAGGCAAACAAGCAAATCCAGTCACGGTGGCAATAAACTGCATTTTTATTGTACTTTTAAATCGTCTTTTACCCCAGAAACCGTCGTACCAGACAAATTACCCAGGAGTGATAGAAAAGCTATCAGAAAGTTTCGATGTGGAGTTGCCCCACTACAGACTGAAACAGGGAGATATACCAACACACCTATGATTGAGAGGACATGTTTTCACTGTACAGACTCAGTTGAAGATGAAAGTTACATTTTATTACACTGCTCTATATATACATCTTACCGGTTAGACCTTTTTAGACATTGTAATCATGTGTGCAATACTTTTAGCAATTTTACGGATGTACAGAAATTGGTTTTATTATGTCAAATCCCAATCTTGTTCATTTTACTGCCAAAACGTGCAAACTGTTGCTTAAAAAACATAATCTTTTATTGTTTGACAAACGATTCTTCCCTTTAAATATCTACCTTTTACCATATTGTGCCAAGCCTTAAAAATAACAAGCCTTTTCAGTTTTTGTTTTTGCTGGGTCAAAAGTAATCGTATCTATAGTTTACCAAAATTTCATTAGCCTTTTCAGTAATTTTACCTTTCCTAAGCTGTCATTGAGTGATATCATAGAACAGAATTTAAAACTGTAAAGTGTATAAGATGTTTGTGTGTTTGAAGTAGTTTTAGTTAGGGCTGAAGATGATGAAATACATGTACGTCCCTATGGTATCCAGGAAGAGATCATCAGATGCTCTTTAATTTTTATTTGTTTGCATCAATTTTATTAATTTCTGTTATTGCAGGTAACACCTGGAGATTACATAGAGAAACCTTTGGAGCGAGTGTCAGAACATGTCCATCAGGAAAAGAGCCTGGAAACTGGAATACAAGCAGTCACATCTACATCTGTGAAGACTGAAATGACAGTACAAGAAAGGAAGGAGGATTCCATGTCAGAATGGGACTCAGATGTGAGTTTGAATTGATTGCAAAAATAATTAGTATGCATAGGCAGTTATTTCTGTTGTTATTAACTGAATTAGATAGGGTTATGTCATTACATGATACATGTCAAAAACAATTCCTGTATAATTTGGGTAGTTCAGCATTCAATAATACTTTCAATAGCCATTTTTTTAATTAATGTGTGTGTATCACAATCGCCTTTTGACATTCATGTACACTACAGTGCACATTACATCATACTCCTGAAGCTCTTTTCCGACGATGAAGAATTCTATTTTCTCATCCAGACCTTCAAACATTGTTCCCAAACATTGTATTACATCAGATCAATGTCTGCAGTCAACACAAGATTCCTTTCCATACCATTTTGTCAGTCTACTCAGTGCTGTAACTGTGTTGCAATGATGATGAGAACTGCAAAAGTACAACACCTGGAGCATCATTACGCACAAAGATACATTTATATGGGGAGCATCACAATTACCACCCAGTTATTATCCCCCGCCGCGCGTTTAGAGCGAAGCGGGGGATATAGTATTAGGCTCCGTCCGTCCGTCCGTCCATCCGTACGAATTGGAATATCTTAAGAACCGTTGACTGGATTCTTTTCATATTTGGTACCTAGGTTCATTACAGTAAAAGGAAGGTGCCAGTCAGGTATGGTGACCTTGACCTTCATTTCAAGGTCACAAGGGGACTTCAACGTTTTACCTGCACGTTAAGCTATCTCAAGAACCATTCACTGGATTTTCTTCATATTCAGTACCAAGCGTTATCTAGGGAAGGCACAGGGCCCAGTCGATTTTGGTGACCTTCACATAATTTTCAAGCTCATGGCGACACTTTGAAGATTTCAGCATGTTAACCCGCATGTTAAGCTATCTCAAGAACTGTTTCCTGGATTTTCTTCATATTTAACCCCAAGCTTTATCTAAGGAAGGCGCAGGGCCCAGACGATTTTGGTGACCTTCACATAATTTTCAAGGTCATGGCGACACTTTGAAGATTTCAGCATGTTAACTCGCATGTTAAGCTATCTCAAGAACTGTTTCCTGGATTTTCTTCATATTTAACCCCAAGCTTTATCTAAGGAAGGCGCAGGGCCCAGACGATTTTGGTGACCTTCACATAATTTTCAAGGTCATGATTTCAGCATGTTAACACTTTCAAGAAGATTTCAGACATGACCTTCACATAATTTTCAAGGTCATGGCCACACTTTGAAGATTTCAGCATGTTAACCCGCATGTTAAGCTATCTCAAGAACTGTTTCCTGGATTTTCTTCATATTTAACCCCTAGCTTTATCTAAGGAAGGCGCAGGGCCCATTCAATTTTGGTGACTTTCACTTAATTTTCAAGGTCATGGCAACACTTTGAAGATGTCAGCATGTAAACCTACATGTTATGCTTGTCAGCGTGATACCTCAAGAGCCATTCACTGGAGTTTCTTCTTATTTGACACCAAGCTTCATCCAGGGAAGGCGCAGGGCCCAGTTAATTTTGGTGACCTTCACTTAATTTTCAAGGTCACAGAGACACTTTGAAGATTTCAGCATGTTAAATCGCATGTTAAGATAGTCATCAAGATATCGCAAGAAATATTCAGTGGATTTTCTTCATATTTGTCACCAAGCTTCAGCTAGGGAAGGCCCAGGGCCCAGTCAATTGTGGTGACCTTCACATAATTTTTAGGGTCAGGACGACACTTTGAAGATTTCAGCATGTTAACCTGAATTGTCAGCAAGATATTTTAAGAACGGTTCACTGGATTTTCTTCATAGACTTTCAAGACCTCCCTTGAACGTTTTTCAATAAGCAATTTCTTTAGTACTAGTTTTGCATATTTCATACACTATGACATTCATGTCAAGGTCAAAGTCAGTCTTGAAAATATGTGTGTGTTTGGACAACTAAACAGCAAGATATCAAGAGAGGTTGACTGGTCATGTTTTTGTTGACATTTAACTTCATCTTAAACTTTCATTACTTTATAAGTTTGATTTGATAATTTGCGGCTGGGGATTATGTCACCTTAGTGACAATGCTTGTTTTTACAATAATAGTGAAGACAATTGCTACCCAGAATTTTTATGTAATTATATTTGAGAAAGTGAAATACAGGTTGTCAATAAACATTATTTAGATGATGATACTTTAGATGATGAAAAGTCAATGTTTTGGGGTATATTAATATTCTGACTTTGATCAACTTTTAACCTTGAAGCAATTTTGACTTTGATGAAATCTTGGCTTCCATGAAAACTCAATATGCATTGATTGGAAAAGAAATCAAACTTGAAAACTTGGTAAGTTAAGACATAAGTTACTACCATAATTGTGAGAATGTATTGAAAGCATTAAAAAAACGTAAGATTAAAGTGCTGAGAAGATCAACCTTGAAGTAATTTTACTTTGATGAAATCTTGGCTTTCATGAAAACTCAATATGCATTGATTATGAAAAAAATCAAACTTGAAAACTTGGTAAGCTAAGACATAAATTATTAACATAATCGAGAGAATGTATGGAAAGCACAAAGAAAACTTAAGGTTACTGAGAAGATAAACCTTGAAGTAATTTTGACTTTGATGAATACTTTTTTTTCCCACAAAAACGGGAAACCAAAAATGTCGAAAGTACATTATGAAATGGGTTAATGTAGAAATTTTGGGCTAATGGAAATTGGCCTGGAATTTGCACTCAAGCCTCTTTCAAACGCAACATAAATTTTGTAAAGTAATGGTTCGAAGGCTAACTCACCCTCGTGCCGTCACTACACATGCTCATGTCTCCCTCGTTCCTTAGTGCGATCCACATTATCCTTACAGTGTTCCCTACATCACTTTTCTGTCACAAAATCACAGATTTATATAAAAGCGCTTCATTCATGCATGCACCGTGAAATCTACGTCTGACGCCTGATGTCAACAACCCTTTTCAGTTTGAGGCATATCGGCTCATTCCACGCCACACGTTAATTTGTAGATTACGGAATGGGACGAGTGTGCCACATGGCATCAGATCCATTCGGGCAATTGTCCGTAGAATAAAATCATGAGACACCAAGTCTACCCGTAGCATTCGTAATTGTCCGTGACCTATTTGACTCTTTCCGTTCATTTCCGTGACGTCACAGGAATGACTCGATAAATTTGCACATTGTGCAACAGTGTGGACGTAGCTCAGTCGGTTAGCTTTCGAGCTAACAATCCGAAGGTCAAAAGCAATTTCCGTGGACTGGTTGTTACTTTTGTTATTGTTTTTCTCCCATGAGTACCCAGCATTCTTGACTGGTTCGTGACCTCCACTGCGCCACCCACATGCTTAATTGATAGTATAAGTATAGATGATCATCAAAGATGAAATCATTTTTACTTTATGACATTATTATGATAACAAATGAAAACATTTTGAAGTTTCACCATCTGCCAGTGGTGAAAAATAATGAAGTCAACGTACGTCTATATATTTTGTCTTATAATCCTAATTAGTTTATTATCATATTTGTATGCATTTTCAAACTTAATAAAAAGCACACGTTCTGGTTATACTTATAGTGTATTTATAAAATGACGGTAATATCTAGACATTTTATAGATTGCCAACGTGATTCATATTTCACACACACGCCCAAAGTGCGACCTAGTGCGACAAAGAATCCTGTTCCATGTCATGTGTCTTTTAACAGTCTAATATGCGAAAAGTGATATATCGTTTCAGGTTTTTCACATTGGTGTATAGTCTCATTGGTCACCCAAGATAGCACACCTGGCAACTAATTGCATGATGTCCGCCGTTCTTTAAAAATAGTAATTTATTTAGCCTATGCGGAATAGCGAACCCGAAATCCACTTGAATTCATCACCTTTATTCGTGGTACAAGTCACAGTTACATTGCTGACATACATATATGGTTGATGGTACATTATGGACTTGTGACCATTGGACTAGGTAGTGATGGACGTGGAATAGGGTAAAAAGCTGTAACAAATAAGGGGATCATTAGTCCATTTAAACAATGAAATTTAGTCCACAAAGTGTATAACAAACATCTCCGATTAACTTTTAAGTCCATCAATGAATACATGTATTTTGAACTGTTATGTTAAAGCAATGTACCAATAAACAAAATTATACAAGCCAGTGTTCCTTTAAACCTACTTTCATGAAGACGTTAATATGAAAAACACATGAAGAAATTCAAGAAAATACAATCAAATTCCCATGAATATTGACCAAATTACTATGGTGAACATAACTTGCAAAAATGAAATACCAACATAATTTCTATAAATATTAGGAAATTCTGTAACGAAAATAAATTCATAAAGTAATGGTTTTATCCATATGAAACAGTGAGTGAGCTTAGCTCTATGCAGCCTTCTAGCAATACCTCAGCAATATCAAGACCCAGACTGAATTACGGCTAATGGCGGACTGAAACTGTCGCTTACTACCAACTTGCACTTGCAGATCGTGCACAAACCGAAACCAGGTATCGGCACTGGTTTGACAAACCGGTTACGGTCCTAAGAGAAAAATACATAAAGGTTTCACTGTTGCTTGTGACAGCACACTCCCCACCAGATATCTTGGGGAAAAGATATGAATATTCATAAACTCAAAATACAAAGGTATAAATTGAAATAACACATTCCTCAATAAAACTGGGTACCGGGTCATTGCTTCTAAAACAAAACATATTGCTAAACATTAACGAAAACCTCTCTGGAAAAGAAATAGTTCAGAGCAAGAAATGAACCATATTCATAGCACTGATTCATTTTCTCCTATCACTGTGGAAGAGGTTAAATCTGCTCGGAACTCTCTTAAGCGTGGAAAAGCAAGGGGATTCGATGGTATTTCAAATGAACACCTACTTTATGGAGGCGAGCTCCTTATTGACTACTTGACTATCTGTTTCAATGCCTTCCTCACCTTCACATACATTCCTGAAGACTTAAAAAGAGGTCTCATCATAACCTTATACAAAGGTGGCAATA